CTCCGTCACTCTACACCGGGTCGACGCCCTTCTCGCTCAACCCGTCAGATTCCCCACTGCTGGAGCCAGATTCACCCGAATCCCAGTTCATGAAAAAATCCTCGAGTACACCGACCGAACCGTCGCCGTTCTCGTCCGACTCGGGGTCCTCCAGCTCTGCGTTACTCAATTCCACGGCGTCGCCGGAGGAAATGCCGTTGCTCGCAGGTGACTCGGGAGTCCCTGCCTGCCCGTCGTTCTGTTCCACTCCATGCGATTTCTGCTGCTTCCTCAAGGCGAGAAAGAGTGCGAAGGCATTGGCAACACGCGAGGATGGCTGTGGTTGAATCTCGACGGGTGGTTGGGGTCGGGCGGTATCCTCGATCGACCCAGTTTGAGGAGCACCCACCGTAGGCTGGGACACAGACTCCCCCCTGTTCGCAAGGATGCCGACGGCACCCGACGTAGGGTGCAACGACTTCTGCAGCCGCAATCGAGCGAGCACTTGCTGTCCTTGCACCTGCACCTGTTGCATAGGGCCGTCTCCGGATTGCAACCGCACGCCAGCGTGACTGTCTTTCTGTCAGGACCGATGTAAGAATACTCGGACAGCCAAAGCACGCGATTCTCGGCTGTAAGTTTGTCCGACTCGCTCCCCTTTCCTCGTGGGTCGACGCCCCATCCTTTGTCGGCCACCTCTGTCGCCGGCATAATCTCCCTCAGGCCATTCTAGCAGTACGGGAAGATGGCGTTACCCCGTTCTCCCTGCTTGCGCAAAGAAAAACAAGACGGACCGTTGGTTGTCGTCTTGTTCTTAGGGAGTTGGAGGATGGCGTAGTGGATCAAGCTCACGTAGTCCTCAACGTCGCCGTCGACGCTTTCGAGCAGCTGGGCTGGAGCTGAATGAGCACTACCAAACGCCGCTTCATCCTTGTAGCAATACATGGTCGCCAAAATGTTTGCGCATCCGTCGATATCAACGGCCCACGTGCCGTCCTGCACCTCGAAGAACAACGGTTTATCAAACAAACCCTCCATCCGTACGCTAAAGGATGAGTAGTATCCACATCTTGCCGAACGGCAGCCCGGAAATTGCCGGGAGGTAGTCACAGCCCGACTACATTGCGGGGGCATTTGCTACACTCGGTGCCAGGGTTGTGTTTAACAAATCCGCATTCCATACTCCCGCACGCCTTTTTTCACTTCTTGCCTATTGGTTGGCTACAGATAACACCGCGGGGGTAGAAAGTCTACTACCCGCATCCGCTTGCTTGGCTGATAACCGGCTTGTGTTGGGTTCCCGTCCTGACTCCTACGCCGTTCATGTTCGACATTTGCGCGATCTATACGGGTCGTTGCCTCCCTTCTCGCCTCGCCCTGCTGCTTGTAATAATCCTCTTCCGCGAGGTTGCTCTCACGATTAGGTAGGCCACCCGTTACCCTAACAGAGAGCCTCCTCCTGTGTTTCCTTCCTGACCGGGTCTTTCCTCCTGTCCGTCGGGCGCGTGCACCGGAATCTCTCACGTCGCGCTTTGTCGCGGCGATGGGGGTGCGCACCTCGCCGGTGGTTAGGTTGCCCTCTCTCCTGCTCCCACCCCGTGGACATTCACTTGTTATGTCTCCCCCTGTGTGGTCGACCACTGGAGTCCGCGGGGGAAGCGTGCCTTCCGCAAGCTGGCGAAGGTCGCATATTGGCTGCAAACCTCCGCTTCCGGGTGTAACAGAGCTCCCAGGCTGGTTCCGAGGTCTGACCTGTGGGGCTGTTAATCCCACAAGCCCGGTTGCCCCGCCTACCTCTCCGACGGGTCATCTAACAACAACTCGACCTATGCCGGGTTATCCCACGCATTAAACACCATACCAGAGTAGACTATACAACAAAAATCACAAAATGTCACGTGACACGTACAGCTTACTACGCAAGCGAACACCTAGTATGCTACATAGTCTAGGTGTGGGCGCTTCGTTGTCTCTTGACAGCCGTGCAGAAGATCCGATCCTCTGTACGGGCATGCTTATGTGCCTGAGAGCGTGACGACTGAAACCTGTCGAACTACGTACTATAGTACTAGACCTGACTTGCAACACTGCGGTGTTTCAATCTACAGCAGTATATGCACGGTCTGGAGTGTACGTAGCCGAGCGCCCCGCGTCATCATGTTCGGCTAGTATATGGCAAAGCACTGAGATTAATTTGAACTTGAAGACAGTCATACTTGCCTTCTCGAAACCCAGATTATCTGAAAATCGTTGTGATAGTCTGACCCTGAGCTACCGTGATTGTACCGGGCATTTCCATAGTATCTTGGGGTGGGGATGGTGTATCCAGTGGATATACATGCATACATGCGCAACATGCAAGAGCGTGCGTTCGGACCCCCGGCGTGGGCTCTCTTGAAATTTGAATTTTGAACACACCATGCTTATCTCCTGCCTCACCGAATCGCCTCAAACCTTTTGCATTAGGTGGCAATGCATCCTAGGTACATGTCAGCAGCATAGTTAGGCTGCAAGATCCCAACCTCGCGCAGAGGTCGGTTCGCGTGTGAAGCTCCCTCCCTGATCTTGGAGCTTCTGCAGTGTGGTTCGCTCTAGCTAAAGTCCAACTTTCTCACCCTACCAAGTGCACCTGGACATATAAAACATACCCTGCTGTGCCCTGACATCGTGTTACCACAAATCTCTTAAAAACTGGACAGTTTAGCTTCTTGTTCGCCCTCTAGAGCCGGTGCTGGGTGTGGAGGTCTGTTGCGCCGCGAGCCGCCTGATCGGAGGGGTTTCCACAGGGGGCCGCTTTCCCGTTGGAAGCTTTTTTTCTCACACTTACTTTTTATTTTTTTCAGCCGTGCAGCACTGTGTGTGAACACGCCGTTACGCACTCGTACTGCGGAGAGCGGAGGATGTGCCCACTGATCTTTGCGCTGCATGTATGCTGCGAAAAGTGGGGAAATCAGTAGCACACCGGGGGGATCTCTAAAAAAAAACGTTACCCGGGGGAACTCAAAGAAATATCCTTTCCAGGCCGAAAATGGTATTTGGGGGGGGTAAGAAAAATGTGTTTTTTTTCGTGGTACATTTTTGTTTAGTCTTTGTTGACTTTCCCCCCCTCGATTGCGTGTGCTTGTGTGTGCTGTTTTTTTCGACACGCATTATTGCACAAAGGACAATGTTACCACAGGTGAGTATGTAGTTGTTTGATGAGTTTGAGGTGATAAATGTTGTGTACATCCGGCGCCGGAAGAAGGTTGCTACTTCGTGTGATAGTTGTGATGCGGTGGGGACACTTCTGGTTAGTTTCAAGAGTGCTTGAGGACAGCCCTCCAATCTGAAGTAACCCAGAATTTCTCGATGCCTCTGTGACAAGTCCGCGGCAGTTGACCTTGGGCGAATATGGCGAAATAACACAAACAAGCGACCCACCAGAACCAAAGGACACTAAAAACCACCATGTGTCGAAAGGCCATTAATCCAAGCTTAATACTCAAGCCGGCAAAATTCTAGAGAGAGGCTGTCGATGAAGCCTACGGCGGCGGTGGCATCGCCACGTGCAACGCAGTACACAACTTCAATTTGCCGTGCGATGTACTTATTCACTCCCCCAAGCCCCCCGCCCCACCTCCCTCAACGAGACTAAACCGCCATTTCTTCGAGCTATTTCGCTTCGAGCGCCTTCGCCATCCCTTGTCCTCGCCCCGAACGAGC